TCAGCTTGCTCTGAGCCGCCCGATCCTCTGCAGCTCCATTTGGAGCCTCCCGGTTGCCAGGAGGACTTCACCAGATCTTCCAGAGAAAGGTCTGGAGCAGGGGGCTTTCGTTTTTGGCCCCTTCCGTTGCCCCGAAGCTGGAGCGGCGCGTGGGATGGAACATGGCCGCCATGTTCCAGATAGCCGCAGCCTTCCTTTTAAAATAAATAATGAATGGATGAAAACAACTACAGCAGTATAAGAGAAGAAACACAAGAAAAACTAACTGTGAGTGCTTATAATGAGAAAAGAGGAGTGGAAGTGAAAGTACCCTGAACTGAATTGTTTGGAATGGAAAGATATAGTGGCCAGAAAACATGCTGGAGATGATGGACTGTTTCTGTAAGTTTATTTTTCTACAGGGGGACCTTGGTGATGTTCTTGGGTGAGGCTACTTCAAAGATTTTAGAGGGAATTAAAAGACTCTTTCGACTGGAATTATTAGTGATTAATTTTAACGGGACAATTAAAATGGCGTCCAATGCAGGAGAGGAGGATGAGGAGATAGATGAAAATGTTTTGGTAGAAGACATCGATAGAACAATTTAAAAAAAATTGAGGGAAGCAATTCAGAAAGGAATAGAAGATGCTTGTGCAAGTTTATTGGGTAAAGCTAATAATCTACAACCTGAACCAGAATATAAGGAGGAGCCGGAACAATCTACTCAGAGCCCAAAGGAAAGCGGGGGGTGTCTGCAAAGAAAGGACTATGTTGAGATTTTGCCCCCTTCTTTCCCACCATCCCAAATATTGAAAAAGAAGGCAACAAACATGAAAAAGCAAGGATGGGAATACCAAAAAAGCGTGTGCAAAATAAATATTCTAAGAGAGAAAAAGGCTGGAAAGACAGAAAGGAAAGACTGCATAAGTGGAAATTTAAAGGGGACATTACAAAAATGGAACATGATTTGCTGAGAGTTAATGGAAACAGCTTGGAGAAAATTTACCATACATTCAAGGAACGGAAGCATAGAGACATGTTGCTACAAGGGAAAAGGCTACAGATATTTAGAAGGAGAATGAAGATATATGGAAAGATTAATCTATAAATTTTTGCGGACACTTGCTCAGCTGGAAGAACCTGATTATGGAAAGTTTGTTAAAAGTTATAGTGGTTGGTGATGCAAGGGGGATAATAGAGGGTGAAGATAATGGAGGGGAAGGTTAAAGGCTAAAATAGTAAATAGTTAATAAATGTGGAGATGAAAGTTTAATGGAAATTTATAAATTGGATTTAGACCAGGGAATATTATATGGATTGTATTTAATTCATGATCAGTAAAATAATTAGATGTATGTGTAAGTGTGAATGAATGTAAAATGTGGAAGAGTCTGGAAAGGTGTTGAAAAGTGATTAGTTAAAGGGCATTAATTTTCAATGAAGTGGTTGGTGATGAAAATAAAGGTATATAAGAAATTATTTAAAAAATGAAGGGACGTAAGGAATATTACAATAGCAAAATAACTGTATGAAGAAGTATGAAAACTGTATATGATTTTAGAGACAGAAAGCCAAAGTAAGGGCAGAAGGACTCTGATAAATGGCCCTTTGAAACAAAGATGCTCAGAAAGTTCTCTCATAATAACTAATTTACTAATACAGAACAATGTGGAAAACAAGAACTCTGCAAGTATATTGTTTTACTAACTCTTTTAATACTAATGTTAAGTTTAACATAAAAGGGGTCTCCCACTCTTGGGTTTTTAGTTAGTGTGGATATCTTTCCTTTATCCATAGTTGTAGTTCCCCTTCCTATATTTTTCTTTGTAGTTTGTAGTCATATTGAAAAAATAAAAATACCCCTCTGGGGGTTTCAAAAAAAAAAAAAGAAGTAGTACCTCAGAATTAGAGGGGGTGGATGTTAATTTCGAAAATCCAAATAAGTGGAGAAAATGATAAAATACATAAACATAAAATAAATCCTTATAATATATATGTTTATACTAAAAACAAGTATAGCTTATTGGATTAAATGAGATGAATTAGAATGTAGTTGTAGTGAGGAATGGTTAGGTGACTCCCGAGTAATGGATGGTTTGAGATGATTAAAATTTGGCACCAAATCAGATTGTTGGTATGGAATTTGATGAATGCCATATGTAAAGATTAGTACTCGGTTAGCGGTTGACTAATGGAATGAATTTGGGAATGTTAGAAAATTTTTTATTTGATTTAGTTGCTGTTAAAAAGTATTTCTGGTTGACATGTCAACTTTTGATGATGTTATTATCTATAAGCTATTATGTTACTGTTTATAACTTGAAAACCCAATACATATATTAAAAAAAAGAATTATGTCCACTTTTACATGTATATTATACACTAGTGGCAAGGCCCGTTGCAAAGAGACAGGTGTCAGGAACTTTAGGCAGGTAACACCACACACTCGTGCTTTTTCAGAAGATAAGTGTTTCTTTGGTAATTCCAGTACTAAAGTAACTCATGTACAGCTTGTAGCTGTTGTTAGGAATGGCCTGTAATATGATGGCCACTGACTTATAGGATATTCAAACTGCCCCCCCCCCCGGTTGCAAAAGCCAATAGTTGGTTTCCGCGTGGGGGCAAAAGCTAGCAAGCAAGCATTTTTGTGCCTAAACATTTCCCAGGCCTGCTGATTTACAGACAGAATACCCACCAAGGTCATTTCTACAGATAGTCAGCTGCATGAAACAGGGAAGAGCTGGTAAGGCGGAGGACTGAACCCCCTCAACATTCCAACTCTATGACAGGGCTACCTGACAACAGGCAAGGGACGCTAGGCAGAGGGCCAGGGGGAGTGCGGCGGCCTGCAGCATGTGCCCAGGCTAGTGGTGGTCAGCACCCCTTAGCAGCGTGGAGGGTGACGGGCGAAGATGGGGCAGCAGCACTGAGCGCCCTGCTGGCGGAGAAGGCCCATGCCACCCTCCCCTCCCGGAGGCCTACCAGCGGCCTCAGAAGGCAGCATGAGGGGGGAGCTGAGCAGAGACGGGCTGGTGGCAAGCACGCCGCCGGCAGAGAGGCTGCACACCACCCTCCCCTCACGGAGGCCTCTGAGCAGCCTTAGAAGGCTGGAAGGGAACGCAGCCAATCGAGGGACACCTTGTGATGGGCAGTTCCTGCAGCCAACTCATTTTGCCGCGCATAGAACGTTGCCAGACCACTACACATTTATATAATAGGCAGAGGTCATTTTGGGGGGGGGATCGCAGGGAGTCGCAGTTCCCCCGGGTGAGGTACGGGGGGCGGGGCACATGATGAAGCCCCGCCCCCTGCTTCCGGCCGCCCCGCTTCTGGCCCTCATTCAGCCAGGAGGAGGCAGGAGAAGAGGGAGGGCAAGTTGCTTCCTCCCTGCCTCTCCCCACCCCTGCCTGCCTGGGGCTAGGGAGGGCCTTCGCGGGGCTTCCTTGCACTCCTGCCGGCCTTGCAGGTCCACCGCCGGGCCCCTCATGGGACTCGGCAGTAGAGCTGCAAGGCCAGCGGCGGCGGCCAGGACCGTTGGGGGCGAAGCTCTTTTTCTACGGAACGACCCCTGATAATAGGACAAGATATGTTAAATCACAATTATAAGAAAATAGCATTTTATCATACACTAGTTCAAACTGGACTAGCTCAGCGATTGAACAAATTTGTTTAGGGAGATTGTGGAACTTATTTCCTTGAAGATTCCAGTTAGATGTGTTTATGGGTATAGGATGTTCTGGGCTGTTCATTGTTGTCGTTGTTCCTGACTCCTAAAATTCCATGTCTCAGATCTGTTAGAAGAAGGCTGCAGAATGTATTCTAAAACTGAGTAATCTGGGTACCAATATGTCTATATAGGCCTTCAGGGGAATTACATGAAGCTCAGTATCCCAAACGGGTCATTTCCTGCAGGAGTGCACAGGAGCGGAGCTCTGGCAGTAAAGAGCTCAGGGGGTGGGCACATGCAACAAGCCCCACTTCCTGCTCCCAGCAGCCCTCAGTCAGAGCAAGAAGCAGTCAGGTAAGTTGCAGAGCCCCCCCCCCCCCCCGGATCCAAAACAGTCCAGTGGCACCTTTAAGACCAAGTTTTATTCAGGTACAAACTCTCCCTCTGCACGCCCCCCGTCCCTCCAATAGCTAGCAATCCAGAACAGTCCAGTGATGCCTGAGCGGTGGATGTCGCCTTCTGACACACTTCCGGTGATGTCAGGGGTTTTGTGGCATATACAAATAAGTTATGCTAATGTGTTATGCTAATGGGCTCCTGCACCTCTTTTTCTACGAAATGACCCCTGATCCCAAATGTATGCAGCCCTAAGTCTGAGCTGCCTATTTGAATATATATCCTCTACGAATAGTTATGTTTTAAATATGCCTTGTGATAAGGGCTGTACAGCCTGAAATAGGTTGGGATTCAACTTATTCATAGCTTTTGAATGGCAGGTACATCTTTCAGTTTTGCATTTGGCTTGTGTGGTGCCTCCCTCCTTCTAGCCTTCCAGGTCTTCTAAAATATTAACTGAGTTTCCAGATGTTCTTTCTACTGGCTGCTGTGAAAAGCCAGCTTGGCTCCCCCCCCCCCCAACCCGGGTTTATAGGAGGAACAGTCCATTCATGTTTAGTAACTGCTGAGCCATCTGGAACCAGCTTGCCCAGTAGGCACTCCTCTTTCATGCTGGTTGCATGAAGTTTGAGGAGTTGTAGTCCAGGCCATAAGAGTGTCCAGGTATTAAGTCAGGGTATTCTGGGTTATAGTATCCTTTGTGTTGAAAATCATGGCTTTCGTTTTTTTTAAAACAGAGGAGCAAGTTCCTGACTCTGGTGTGTAGCAGAAGGGTTCTTGTATGGAGGATTTTTTACCACCTGGACTTGGTGGAAGGTGTCAGCAGTTACCTTGTAAACCGGATACAAAGCAATCTACCTCACAGGACTATTGGGATGAGTTAAATATTGCGCAATGTCTTCCGTATATGAAGCACTACATAAATATTTCTGTGTGTGCATCTTTCCCTCCTTATAGGTGTGAGCAGTTGAAGTCTCTATTGGTGTATGTGCGGTAACAACATGTCTGTCCCCCTCCTTGCTGATGCCGTGACCGTTTCAGGGGCAGAGCGGGAGACTGCAGCGGTAAGCACATGGCTCTCTTAGGCCGACCATCTGCTGGGATCCAGGAAGATTAGAGGAATTAACTGGATCTTGCTCCTCTGTCCCCCTCCTGATTGTAAATGCGGAGGGGCTCCTCTCCCTGTGCAGTAGGGGGGAGGTGGGATTTTTGTGTGCGCGCGTGTAGAGGGAGGGGTGGTACCAAAAGAATAAAAATAGTCTGGTTCCGTTTCTAGTTAACCATGCAATGTTGTTTGTGTAGGACCTGCACACAGCCAGTCTTGTTGTCTCTGGCAGGTAATTAGCCCAGCTGTCCAAATGTGTGCTAGCCTCATGGCTCCTGCTGTACTAATGAGAAAGTCAATAACCAAACCTCACTCTTTGCCATCGTAATTTAAACGTGGGGAAGCCGTGACAGACCAGAGAGGCATAGCTGTCACTATACGGCCCTAAAGCTCACTTAATCCTCATTCTTGCTGCTGTCCTTGGCTGTACTCACATCATCAGAAATGTTCTGGGCTCTCTTGCTCACCTGTGTATATGCTGTGCCCTCGCAAATCTGAAATGTACAAGGAGTATAACTTATGTAAATCTATCACATTTGCCTAGAGATGGCAATCAGAGATCTAGAAGCAATTGGTAACTCTGCCGTCTGGATCACAAAATCTGCAAGGGGTGGTGGTGTCGATCTGGGACTAGGGTGTATGCTTCTGTAAACCCATAGTAGCTCCCAGGTTTGCAGGAAAATGCAGAACGCCAAGTACTATAAAAGCTTTGTTATCTGACACTTGATTATCCAGAATGCTCAGTTAATCAGCATTGCGGAAAGCACAGCCTCCACCCCCTCAGCCACCATACCCCGTGTCTTTGGTTGCATCTCCCCCTGACCACACACACAGCCAGCCCGCTCGGTGCCTTTGGACTTTGCTGTGCTCCTGACAGCCATTGCTGCCAGCTTATCCTTGGATGCCTCCTTTCCCTTCAGCGTTCCTTGAGCTGTCAGGAGCCAGCTATGTCAAGGGGGCTCCTGGACAGCTGGCCCACTTGTCTGTCTGTTGTGTTGATAGCTTGGGGGGAAAGGGAAGGGTCCCACCAGGCATAGGGGCTGTCAGCATGACATTCCCAATGAGGTGGGGTTTGGTTGCTGTGGATACCTCTGGATAGGGAGCACAGCAATAAGCTTAAGCATCTGGCACATATAATTAACCAGCAACCCCCATTAATGTCGGGTAACAAAACTTTTACTGTACACCAGCAGTTATTGCCTCTCCCAAAGACATACAGGCATTGCAAAAAACAACCATGGGAATTGACCAATCATAAGGGGGGAATCACCCAATTGAGTGGGGGAGAGACTGGACAATTGGGTGCGGATCTGGGATCAGAATAGGTGATTAGGTAGAGCAAAGGGGAAGGAAAGAGGGGTCACTGGGGACAGTGCTTCTCTCCTGTTGATCCTCAGGAGTGCCCCTCTTGTTTTATAGACACGTGGCAGCAGGGGAGAGGCGTGGGACTAGGTGCATGGTAAGGATGAGACCCAGTGGGTAGTTGCCATTGGGAATGTCAATTAGCCATGCGTGGTGCTAGAAGTTGTGTCTCTGGACCATCTCTTCCAAGCCTCAGAGTCTCTCTCTCTCTCTCTCTTTAAAAGCTTTTCTGCACAGTCCTAATAACTGGTATCTTGCTGAATCAAATTTGATGAGAACCAAGATACTCAGGATGATTGATTCTTTACCATTAACTTATTCTATGAGTTGGATCCTGTGGAGCTGTTCTGCTTGCTAGTGGAGATGCTTTCCTCTGAGACAAGGAGCCTTCCTTTGGCATGAGACGCTCAGAAGAGCGTTTTGGGTCAGGGGAGCTCCTGTTGCAGGAGAAACCCTCTCTGCTAGCTGAACTAGTCCATCAGATTCAGCCCTATGCTTGTGTGGCCGTCCAGGAGATACATATATTTCTTGCATTCCTCTCTTTCTAAAACAACTAATCTAGAATTTTGCAATGAAGAGTTACCGTGTTCTAAGACCCGGAAACTCAGTTGTTAGTTGCAGAGTTGCAGGAGGAGAGCTATAACATATGAAAGTAGTCATTAGAATTGATATTTAATATTTGATGGAGGTGGAAGGGACATTTGTGGTGTTTGGTACTTCTTGGACTGGATAGTGGAAGGAAAGGATTGATGGGATGCAGGAAGATGCTAAAGCAATAATAGGGTTTTTTGGGATGGGGGCTGAGATTGGGACAGAAGGCTTTTCTGTCCCGCAGATTCCTGACACACACCCCAACTTCACTTCCCCCCATTAACGGGAGGTCTAGTAGCTTGCTTTTCTGAATAATTTGCCTTCATTTTTAGCAGAACTCTGGAACAGTTTGGGAAGTCTTCTGGAGTAGCTGCAGTGATTAATATGGGAAATTAATCTGGAATAAATGACCCCTTTCAGTCATGTCTGGCTGAGAATCAGAAAAAAAAAAAGTGTTTCTAGAGATTGAAAGGCTAAGGTACAAATATCCATATTAAATGGGCCCCTCCTTTCCTTTTGCTCGGCTTTAACTATAAGTGCTTTGTGAACAGTAGCAGGGTTGAAACAGATCAGGAGAAGGTGACCCTGAGATATAACGGATAGTGTGAACAGGCCTGTCTGTCACTGCCAAACTGCTATTGAGCTTGGCGTCATGGACTGCTACCGTTGCAACCAGCAACAGGACTTGCAAAGTGGCTGATGGATACTTTTGTTTAACCCCTTGAGCTGGATTTGAATTGCTTATCTCTCTGTTTTGGCTACCAAACAGAATGGGGGGAACTAGGACTTGGAAAGGAGAGTTGAATTAGGGAGGGTCCTGAAGCCGCCTCTGACCACCACTCCCATCTGCTGAGAATAGCACTTGGCTTCCTGTGTGGTTTCTGCAGTTTCAGCAGGCATGGTCCATGTCGTGTCCAAGCTCATCTCTGCTACTCTGAGAGCTAGAAACTGTCAAAACGGGAAGCTGAGATTCTCAGAAAGTGTCATTCTGTGCTTCTGTGGAATAGCCTGTCTCACTCACCCTACTTTATCCTTCCACCTTAAAAAGAAAATCAAGGCTGAGCTAGGCAAGGTGGGAGGAGGACACTGCAGCCAGGTCAGTTTATCAGATTAACTAACAGATGGTGAGCCATTTCACATTAACCCTTTTAAACAGTTATTGCCCCGTCATGGAATAAGATGTCAAATTGATTGGCACAGTCACAAGACAATACGAAAACCAAAAAGAACTGTGAAAAAGTGACGCTTAATAAATTTCTTTAAAGAATCAATTGTACAAAAAGTGAACAGTAATAATATACATAATAATAGAAAAATTGATGGTGATCTCCGGAATGTCTTGCCGTTTCAAAGATAGATCTTCTTCCGAACAAAGATGTGGGACAAATACTGTCTCTCAGTAATTCATTTCCTCTGGTGACGTTTCAAAGATCTCAATGAAGATTTTCTCTTCTCAGGTGAGATTATGTTTGTACCTTCTCCTTTGAGTTTCTAAATGCTGGATGTCTTCAGTTACTCGCCTTTCAAAAACTGATATGGATGGTACATTGATAGCTGGTGTAAATTCAGATTTATTCCAGTGTTCATAATAGCTGTAATGTCTAATGGAGCCTACCATGGGCTATTGGTATTGTAATTACTGAGGGACAGTATTTGTCTCACATCTTTGTTCGGAAGAAGATCTACCTTCGAAACGGCAAGACATTCCAGAGATCACCGTCAATTTTTCTATTATTATGTATATTACTGTTCACTTTTTGTATAATTGATTCTTTAAAGAAATTTATTGTCACTTTTTCACAGTTCTTTTTGGTTTTCGTACCGTCATGGAATAAACCAGTACAGGGACGGCTGTTTCACACAGCCTTTCCCTTCCGGTAAGGAGCCGTCTCTGAAGCGTTGTGTCATTTCAAACTGCACCAATTTCTTTTCCTGCCACCCCCCCCCCCCCCCGCACGCACAATCTCCCCGAGAGGGTTTTTTAAAAAAAACATTCTATTGGGAGTTCTATGGTGCTGAAGCAGAACTACAAATCAGCACCATAGCGACCCCATTGAGATTCCTGGACTCCATTTAGATACACTGACATTTGCTACTGCTGTAACCTGGAAACAAGGAGCTCACTGGATACAGAGTTCAAGCGTGGCAGGGGGACGGGACGGGACTGTGCAGTTTTGAAACCCAGGCAGCTCTTTCCTTCCTTCCTTAACTCCCACAAACCATGGACCATCGACCAAACATCTGTCTTACCATTCACTTCTGCCCCTGATCTCCCGCTTAAACACCCTGTCCAATCAGGTACTTGTTCCAAGTGACAACAGTAGTGAATGTCAGTGTATATAAATGGAGTCCAGGAATCGCAATGGGGTTGCTATGGCACCGATTTGTGGTCCTGCTTCAGCGCCATAGTGCTCCTAATAGAATGTTCAAAAAAAAAAGAAAAGAGGACGATCGCTCATGGGGAGAAAAAGAAAAGAACTGTCATCGCAGGAAGCACTGTGGGGCATTTTATACAGCACCCCATAGCACTTCAGAAGTGCTAGGAAGGATTGAAGACTGGAGGAAAGCCGTTTGAGTCAACAGTGCTTCAGGCACGCTTCCCGAATGGGATAGAAGCATGTTTGTCTGAACAGGTAAATATATCCCACCAGGGACCAGTTACTAAAATGGGTCTGTCTGAAATGAGAGAAACCCCCCCATTAGTGACCAGTTCCTGAAACAAAATACATAGGCTGTTTGAAATCAGCTGGTGATCACCTCCAGCCCAGCAACCACACTCTGGTGTGTGTGTGTGTGTGTGTGTGTGTGTGTAACTCCCGGGTGACGCCTTCCTGCTGCACTGAAACGTTGAGGGGGTGGCTTGGCTCAGGATTCTCATTCAGCCTCGAAAGGTGGGCAAGAGAGTGGTGGCTTGGCAAGTTCCCTTCCAGGGAATTGGGGGCTGGGTTCCCATTGGCTGCAGCTGGGATTGGGTGGCAGGCAAGTGGTTGGCCGTTCCTCAGCCGTACCTTACCATCTTAGTTAAGTTGGGTCATTCCTTCCTTCCCAAATGCTTCTAAAAAATATTTGTTTGCGACTAATGGGACTTGTTGAGTCGCTGGTGCTTTCTCAGCTTGTGCTGGCGTAATGCCTTTTGTTTTCTGTTCGGTTTCACAGGTCATTTTTTTACATGGGCTCGGAGACACAGGGTGAGTATTGTAAGCCATCATTGGCTGCCTGGCCTTGTTGTGTAGTTGAGGATGATGCTGCACTACTGACTTGGAGGGGTTGGGAGGGGCCTTGTTGACCGAGAGCAGTGCTCTTGGAAGATGGAAGACCTGGGAGGCCAGGATGAGGCTAAGACTTATTGGGTGGAACAGGTGGCCTCCTGCCTCTTTCCTCATTGGTCACTGCAGCCCTGGTTTCTGAGCTTATCTGGAGCAAAGTGTGTGCAGGCTGGAACCTGCTCAACCCTTCTGATCTGTACAGTAGCAAAGGTGTGACAGTTTAAGGCCATGTGTGGCCCATTGTGGGTATCTTCCTGCCAGGAGCTTCCTGCTTCTGCCAGCCTTTGAACAGGGATGACTTCCAGTACACTTTTGGAGACAGGAGTTTTTGATGTGTGTACAAATAAAAGAGCCCCTTGCCGCAGGCAAATGCAAAGTCAAGCCTTGGAGAGGGGGGAAGATGGGAAAGCGATTGCAGCCTAACCAACGGTAGCTGTTCCAAGAGAGCTGGCCTTTAATGCAAATGGGCTCTGAGGATTTTACTCTCTGCACATTTTGGAGGAGAGAACACAGCTTTCCTGGGGCTCTCTTGTTTAGAACATGAACTTGTGGGTGGGTGGGTGGGTGGGGGTGGGGGGGGATTATACATATCAGTGCTCAGGTGATGTGAGGATAGTACTGATCTATCTTATGGGATTTTTTGTCACTGATGTAGTGATAATGTGAACTGCTTTGGGAACCTGAAGTGCTAGGAACATGCTGCTTACCACAGCAGTAGCAGTGCAAGGTGTATCCTGATGTAAATTTCTGTAGAACAAAATTGTCTCAGGCACGATCCAGGGGTGCACAGGCAGTGAGGAGCAGTTGTCTCTCCTCACCTTTCTGCGGGCATCCTCTGCAAGGCAAGTTCTGAACTTTCCTCTCTCTCCCCCCCCCTTCCCTCCTTCAGGCACAGCTGGGCTGAGGCCTTGTCTGCCATTCGGCTCCCTTATGTGAAATACATCTGCCCTCATGCGTAAGTGTTGCCTTGGGCCTGTGAGTGCAAGCTGGCTTGTGGTTCAAAGAAGAGATGTCTATAAGGGGAGGGGAGGGGAAGGGAACACTGTAATATCAGACTGGTTAGCTTTTTCCCAGCCAAAAATTAGAGCTTCTTTGCTGACTCATTGCATAGCTGCTAGTAGCTTATGGCCAAATAATTGGCCGGTCATTTCAAAAAGATATGTGATGTTCACCGTCCCACACTTTCCTCACTCTTATTTTTAAAAAAACCCCATTCTTCCATCTCTTCGATCTCTTTACTCAGGTCTCCTTTTTTACTTGCTCTTTCTCAGTCCAATGTGCCTCTTCCGCCATCTTGTCCCTAGGCTTCCTACCAGCAGCTTCTTGCCAGGTTCTCTTTCTACTCATCCTCTGGCCGTACAAAGGTCCCCTTATTCCTAGAGCCTCTGTGTTATTTATTTATTTATATTTATAATGTCAATTTCTAGACTGCCAAAGGGTACAGCATCTCATAAAATACATTCAATCACATTTAAATACAATGGACAAATAAACCAATAAAGTATTAGAACAGTTCAAAATTAATTCCAGATGGCGCCTAGAATGGGCCAGATTAAATCCTCATCCTAGTGGGAGAGGAAGGAAGGAGCCAGGCTGATTAAAAGCTGTTACTGTTTAAGAACCATTGCTGTCCTCAGCCGTAAGCCTGGCGGAACATCTCTACCATACCAGCCCTGCGGGACTGCAGAGAGTTCCGCCAGGTTGGAGCCAGGGCCAAAAAAGCCTGGGCTCCGGTTGAGGACAACCAGACATTTTTCGGTCCAGAGATCACCAGTAGATTTTTCTCTGCTGAGCATAGCGCTCTTCAGGGGGTACGCCAGGAGAGGCGGTCCTGCTGGTACGTTGGTCCCAGACTGTGTTGTCTTAGTCACAGCCAAAACTGTACATGTTCCATCCCTCACAGAAAGTGGACTGCAAACACGTGGGTAGCTTTGAACATTCCCTGGCATGACACCCGCTTAGCTAATGGGTCCTGAAGACTTCACTGCCCCAAGTGTAATAGCGTCTAGATTCTGGGAGTGTGTAGGAGTCCACTTGTGCCTCTTGTCCTTATTTGGGTGCCAAGACAATTTCCCTCTACTTGTTCCACTTGCCAGTTCAAGTCTCTTGGCTGTCTCAAGATAGACGTGTCTTTCTCACACTGCATATTCCTCTGCTGTGTGGCACTCCTGAGGCACTGTGGCTTGTGTCAGGTTGCCTGCTGAAGGTCCTTATCTTCAGGGAAGACTCTCTGATCATAAACCAAATGCTTTTAACACTCAGAATCTTAAAACGAATTGACTAAAAAAGACTAAAAGACCTTGTTGGCCAGGTCTTTACCTGAAAGTGAAATCTCCTCCCCCATGACTCAGATTTGACTGTTTCAGCCATTCATGTTTTGTGAGAAGACAGCTGGCGTTGAGGATGTACAATTCAGCCCAGCAGGGAAGTTTGTTTCCAAGCTGACTTGGTAAATCTGCTTTCAGCATCCTGAAGTGTGGAAGTACCTCATTTCTCCCCTCCAACCTCAGTCTGAGTTAAACCAAGAGGAGAGCCGAGTATTTATGAAAAGGAGAGGGATTCATTGGTTCTGTCTGTCTTCCTGTCCCAGTTCCAGATTTCCGTGAGGGCCGTGCACCTTAGCATTTCATTCGATTCTCCAGTCCTCACTAAAAGCTACCGATTGGCTCATGTACACAGGCCAAAGCCCTCTGCTTGTGAATGTCTGGGTTTCCAAATTGCTTTGCTGCTTGCATGAGAGCATTTTAGCAGGCAAGATGGAGAGTGGCTGAGCAGAGAGGTCTAGAGTCTAAGGTGAAAAAGAGCTATCAGTGTGCCTTCATGAGTGCCTCCTGGAGCTGAGCTTGCTAGTGGAAAGGGCTGGAAGAGCCAGAAGCCTTCTGAAAAAGCCTTCCTGTATCCCTCTTCATCCTGTCTGTAAAAAATCAAACGGGTCCTGCAAAGAATGGCACAGCTATGCCTTGAGTGGGCTGTCCTCCCTTCTCCCATTCTCCCTTTACCTTAGAAAGTAGCTCCGCATTGCTCTTCCGGATCCAGTTCTGTACGAATCCAGTCACCGTGAGTCTGGAGTCCTTCTATAAGTAGTGACAGACACTTGGTCAACAGTTCTTGGGGGCCTTCTGGCATGCACAGGGCCCTTAGCCTCCCCACCTAAAGAAATGGCTGCTGCTTTGTCAGCCTCTCCCTAGCCAAAGCACCAATCTGAGGCTTAGCTCAGTACCCAAATGTCCAGGTCCCTAGGTGGGCTGCTAGGCAACCACATCAAACATTGCCTGGTCCAGGAGGAATGGTGTGTGGCTTTGTGATAGAGAGGAAGATGGGGTAAGGCCAAACAGCAGGCTGTACATGTGGGAAAGCTTTTGCTGGCTGCTTGCTTACAAGCCTGACCCAACCTGGTGAGAAATGTTTTGTGTTTTCTGGTGGTGGGCAGGTGTTGGGAGGTTCTGCCTCAGCATGCTCTGGGCAGGGCTGGAGGCATTCTCCACATCTGAAGTTTGTATCACATGAGCACAGAATTGCTGGTGGTGAACCTAAAAAGTCAAGGGTCCTTTTTAAAAAAATTGCAGCTTCGATTCTTCAGAAATAAAAACGCATGTTCTGTCAGTCTCTCTGGATGAGTCCTGGTTTTTGAGAGGTGGTTGGGAAACCATGTGATCTGCGGTCATTTCCTGCCTATCGGGTGATTATTTCCTGCTTCTTTCTCCTTGTGCTGCAGGCCCAGGATCCCCGTCACGCTCAATATGAAGATGGTCATGCCATCCTGGTTAGTATAAAACAATGTTTAGTTGAATGGCCAGCCACATGTGTTCCCTGATCTGGCATGCTCCACGTGGCAAGGAACTGTGGCCTCTGGGGCTACAGTTGAGGCTCTGGCTATCAAGAATGATGGAGAAGATGCAAATAAAGCTGTGACCAGAGAGGGAAGAGGGCAGAGGATCAACAGGCTGCACAGAGAGGGACTGATGTCTGCAGCTGGCTGCAGTGGGGTGATGAATGTTTTAGGGCAGTGGTGGCGAACCTATGGCACGGGTGTCAGAGGTGGCACTCAGAGCCCTCTCTGTGGGCACGCGTGCCATCGCCCCAGCCAGGCCCAGACCATCATTAAAGTGTCGAATTCTCTGCCAAATAATTTTAAGTAAATGAAAGCATTTGGGATTGCTTTCCTTACTTTGTTTGGATCATCTTAAGTGAATGTATGAGTTGTTTTTTCTAAAGTAAAACCTCAGTATTCAGGTTAAATTGGCACTTTGCGATAAATAAGTAGGTTTTGGGTCGCAGTTTGGGCACTCGGTCTCTAGAAAGGTTTGCTATCACTGTTTTAGGGGGATAGTTTTGGGTGGGTAGCCATGTTAGTCTGTAGTACTAGAACAAAATTTGTGTCCAGTAGCATCGTAAGGTCCAACAAAACTTCCCAGGGTATAAGCTTTTGTTGGTCAAGGTTCACTTTTGTCAACCTCAAACCTTGGGTTGAGATTCATGCAGAGATGGAAAAAATAGTTAACTGCACATTTAAAAAAAGAACCAGATATATTACTTTTGGGACTTAAAATGGAAGAGGTCAATGTGGCGAAAAGGACGCTTATGTGGTACATGATTGTGACTGCCAGAATGACATATGCGCAAAGTTGGAAACAGGAGGAAGTTCCTGGAATTGGAGAATGGATCAAAAAACTACTTTTATGGTTGAAATGGATAAAATGACAAGGAAACTGAATAATATGGCAGCAGAAGATTTTTTGAAGACTGGAAAGACTTAAAAGAATATTTGGAAAAATACTGGGATGTGAGAGACAATTTATTTTGCTTTGATAACTATTGAGTATAGAGAATTGTGAAAAAATAAGTTACCTGTTGAATATGTAAAGATAAAGAGGAGTACTTAAGAGTAACCTAAGGATTATGCAGGAGGTTGTAGCACTGTGGGAAGCCATATATGGGGGGGAAAGGGAGGAGGGTAAGATATAAAGGGATAAGAATTGTAATACAAATGTTGAACTTTGTTGAATATATCCTAAAAATAAAATGTTTACCAAAAAAAAAAAAAGGTTCACTTTTGTCAGAGGCAAATGAGAATGAGGATCCATCATTGTACTTCTGCATCCCATCTCTAAGAGGCTCTTCTTTGTAATACCCCTCCCACCTTCTGACCTGGATACAAGGGCTGAGGGGTCCTTATTTGCATCTGACGAAGCGAGCTCTGACTCACAAAAGCTCTTACCCTGGGAAATCCCGTTGGTCTTTAAGGTGCTCCTGGACTCACATTCTGACGTGTGGTTATGTCTTCAAAGAGGAGAATACAAATTTCCCCTTGTTGAGGAGAGGTGCTGTCTTTAGAAGAGAACCTTGGGGGCAGCAGGTGGAAGGGATATCGCGTGCAGCATGACATGTCTGTCCCAGAGCCCCTTCACCCAGAGCCTTTAGTAATTTTTGTTCGTGGTCAGTTTTTGTTTCTCCTCGGTTATTTCTATTTGCTGTGCATCCTGCACCTTCTTGCTTTTCTAGCCAGTGGCATTAATCTGCATAGCTGATTTTAAAAAGGACTTGCTGGCTGTCTTTCGTCTAATACCCAGTGAAACAAACGTCTGTGGATTCTTAGTAACATGGGTGATGCCAGGGAGAATGGCAAGCTGGCAAGCTGCACCCTTTGCCAGTGGCACTGACATGCTCTGGATTTCTTTATTGTCAGTGAATGTGGTGTTTTTATGCACACAAGTGTTTTGGCATGATGTGGTCCACATGGTCACATTTTCAATCTGCTTATCTCTCAACCCCATGTCGCATCTTGGCAGGCGAGCCCAATTGCTGTGGCTGACCTTCACTTTCCCCTTTCTAGGTTTGATTTGATGGGGCTAAGTCCAGATGCACCGGAGGATGAAACTGGAATTAAAAAAGCTGCTGAGAACAGTAAGGCACTTATCCAGTGGTTGGTCTCTGTAGCGTCACTGAATCACAAGTACTGGCGTTTGAAAAATCGAGTGAGGAGAGACCAGTCCCTTCTCTTATGCCGAGCTTTTACCTCTTCTTTTATCCTCAGCACCAAAACTCCACTTCCTGACTCTTGAAAGAAGGGAAGCCATTGGCATTGTCAGATGTGTTTGCATTTACTCAGATCACATCTCCCAAATTCCTTTAATCCACTCAAATTCCCCCCCCCCCAAAAAAATCTCTGCCATCACAGACTTGGCAAGCTAAAGTAATACATTTTAAAAAACAAAAAGGAATCTGGAGACTTAATGCAAATGTAACTGTGAGTGGAATGCCAGTGTCATGTGGTGCTCGAGAGTGTTGAACTAAGAACAGGGAGACCTGGCTTTGAATCCCATGGGCCAGTCGCTTTCCCTCCCAGCCTAAACTACTGCACAGGGTTGTTATAAAGGTAAAATGGAGGATGGGCAAACCACACATGCAGATGGATTAAGATAGGTAGCCATGTTGGTCTGTCTGTAGCAGTCGCAGCACAGAGTTCACCTGAGGGGGGCAGGCTGAATAAATGCAACACACGCGTTTGCATCATTGACTGTGTGTGCGGAGCCGTATGGATCTTGTGCTGCCTCGAGCTCTCTTGTCTTTGCCTTCCAGTTAAAGCCGTCATCGAGCATGAAGTAAAGAACGGAATCCCAGCCAACCGCATCGTCCTAGGAGGCTTTTCACAGGTCAGGCAGGGGGAGAGGGGCAAGCAGTGTAGCCTGGGGAGGCAGGGCATTGTCAGCATCACTGGCAAGTGCAGGGTTAGTGGTAGGGAATGGGAGGTAAGCACGGGGTGGCACTTTCCAAGTCACTGCCTCTCTGTTGGGGGAGACGTCCCGTGACTTCTGGCCTTTTGGAGTCGCACAGATTTTCCCGGGAAGGGGAGCACACTAAAGGCACCAATCACTGAATTCAGTGTCCCTTGCAGAACACATCATCCTTCATCACTCTGTTTTCATTTACTTTTTAAACGCAAGTTTCCAGCCCATGTAGCTGTGGGGGGAAATGGGCTTCACTGATGAACTCTTGGAAGCCCGATGGAGTAGAACAAAGCTGCTCGAGTGGATTTCAGTTTTTGCTCACTGTTTCCTTCCAGCTAGCAATTATGTGCTTGTTTTGGTGGTGGAGGTGGGGATCTTTCCTTCCTGAACTGCTTCCTTCCTGCTGTCCTCCAGGGTGGCGCCCTCTCCCTCTACACAGCTCTCACTTGCCCACACCAGCTGGCTGGCATCGTGGCCCTCAGCTGTTGGCTCCCCCTGCACAAGGCCTTCCCTCAGGTATGGCAGTCTTGCTCCTTCTTCCCCACATTGACGTTGTTTTCCTTGGTCCCGAAGCCATTTGGGGGTGGGCAGTGGTTGTGATAAGAACCGGTCCTCCTCCTCCTCCACTGGGATAACCCTGTGAGCATCGATCGCCAGAATACAGTGCGCCCACTCTTCCTCTCTGCCTGGGTGGGTCACAGTTCCTTGCCGTTACTCTTGTTGCAGGCGGCAAACAACGGGATGAACAAAGACATACCCATTCTTCAGTGTCATGGGGAGATGGACCCCATGATCCCAGTGCGCTTCGGGGCCCTCACCGCTGAGAAACTGAAGTGCGTCGTGACCCCGAGCAAGGTCCAGTTCAGAACTTATCCAGGACTGATGCACAGCTCCTGCCCTCAGGTTCGTTGGCAGCTGGCTTTTAGCCCTTTCCCCCCTGCTTCGTTGTGGGGGACTTGGTTGCAAGCAGGGGAAGTGCTGGGGGATGCAAGCAGTGACGAGGCATCTTAGGGACCACCTTCTTCCACGTAAGGTCCCGCATGATCAGAAAGTCTGAGGCGGCCCTGCTGTCTTGTGTCTTGACGGTCAGAGGCTCAGCCAACCACAGGAAACAGCCTTTTCTGTGATGGTCCCCTCCTTAGAATGCTCTCCCTCTATGGAGGCTCCTTTTCTCAGGGAATCTGTTGTGTTGGCTGAGCTTTGTAGGGCAACTCCAGTGCCACTGCCCGCTCCTTGAGCTGAGGGTTATTTTTAAGCATGTATGGGGGGGTATTGATTCCAGAGCGCTGCTGTGTGTTAAGTCTTTTGTTTTTGCCACTACAAAAAGCTCTGGGTGTCTTGAAGATTTAACAGGTCAGTTTGCAGCCTCTGGCAAAAAGTGGATCGTGGCCTGTAAAAGCCTCTGGTGTGATATATTTGGACTAATATATACTAATCTCCTTTTCCACTCACTGAAGCGGGAGAAGGTGATCGTTGTAGATTTCTTCCCTCTCACTGCATCCCTCTGCTTCACACTCACACACCCATATTGCTGGTGGCTCGTGGACCCTTAAGGCCACAGTAGTTGTTTTTTTTCAGGGAGGGCATTTTAACGCTTGCTTTCATTTTTGTTCCATCCTCAGGTTTTGAAAACTTTGGTTCTCATTTGAGGGGTGGCTTAAAGTTTCCGCCTTGTTATGGCAGAGATAACTTTGAGGGTGTGTTTTTCCTTAGAGAACGAATTCTGGTGGGATAACAGTATTAAGCCTTTTGTAGCAAAAATGAGAGTCCTGTGGGGCCTTAAAAACAAGCACGTCATACGTCGCTTTGCCAAGGTTTTGAACATATGATGAAAGTGGGTTTTGGCCCCTGCAGGTGTCGATCCTATGGATAAGGGTTGTCTTCAAGGTGCCCCTGGATTCTGCTTGTGTTTTACCTTTAAAAAAAATGGCACAGGAATGGGGTGTTTGTTGATTTGGGCTGTCCTGATTGGGGGGGGGGGCGGATTCTGTGCCTTGATTCCTTAGAAGGGGGCGTTTCCTACTGGCCCTGAAACAGGACTCCTCCTCCTCTCTCGATCCCTGCAGGAGATGATGGCTGTGAAAGAATTCATCGAGAAGTTGCTGCCTAGGATTTAAATGGAGCTACTCAAGACTGTTGCAGGGAGAGGAGACCAAAGGTCACCACCTTCGATCTTTAACCCTTGACCTGTCAGTTGCATCCGGAAGCCATGACGATCCACCTCCACTCTAGTCGGTTTCCTTTGGTTTCCTTTTTCTGGCCCTTCCCTTCCTCCTGTGCATGCCCCTCCTTCAGCAGAAGGGGAGGCATCTTCTGTATGCACAGCAAAGGGCTGGAGCGGTTTTAAGGTACAAGCTGGGATCCATTTGGCTGCCTTAGTGGGTTTGGGGGGGATCATTCAGGATCTGTTTCCCCCCAACCGTCAAGTGCTTACTGTGGCGATTAACTGGGTGGCAGCCAAAGGCTCTAAAAGCGAAAAGGTATTAGGAGACGTCTTTTCTTCTTTTGCAGTATTTGCAGGGAGCTTAAGTGAGCGAACTGAGCTCCCTGTTGGGTTCACAGACCTTCCCATCTCCCTCCGTCTGTGGTATGGAGAGCCAGTCTCACTTGCGTGCATCTGTTCTGCCAAAGCTGTGTTAGTGGCACAGGCAGGGCTGGAGCTGGCACTTGACTTTTTCCTGGGCTGGGGAGGTAAGAAAATTCTCCTGTCCTGCCCTGCCCAGGAGGACGTTCCACAGAGCCCTGTACCTTAAACCTTGTTCCAAAAATCCCGCCAGCATTGCCAGGCGAGGGGGAAGAGCAGCCTGTTGGCGGATGGCTGCACCTTATCCTCCAGCCCTGTCTTATTCCTGCTCTGCCCCTGTCAGACTCATGTGCAACAGCTGAGCTGAATTACCCTCACCTTCACCAGGCCTTTATTCCCCCCCCCCCCAAAAAAATAGCCACCTTTCCTTTTCTCATCATCTCCACTGTGGTCTTTTCCATCACGTTGGGCCCAAGTAGGTTCCTTGCTACACAGGCAGGGTAGAGCTCAGGGGAGATGGACACGCAGCGTAGGGCTGTCTGTAGTCTTCTGGGCATTCCAGTGACCGGAAGCACTTGCCCCCAACAATGGCAGCTGGGGCAGTGCCTCAGTGGTGATCGCTTGCGTTGCTCAGCAGATCGCCCAGGATGGCTGCTTCGTGATCCTTTCACTTTCCATATCAAGCAGCTGCAAGCTGGTTTTTTTGCAGTAGGGGCCGCCTCCCCTTAGGGCCTCTCTTGGTTGTCAGTGGATCTGCTAAGCCCAGCATTCTCCTCTCCCACCCCCATCCTCCACTGGCAGCCCCTCCTTAGCCCTGGTGGCTGGCAACCAAGATGGTTTTCTTTATTTTCGCGACAAGGCCCCTTTCCTGGAGTGTCAGGCTATCATCCTCATTTCCCGCAGGGAGTGGGCGTGGTCTGAGCTGCTGAGCAGCGAAGGGCCCCTACTCCTACCCTCCCATCTGGGCTGAACCAGGACTTTGACAGCCAAGGGCAGTGTGTATCTTCTGAAGGCGCTTTTCCCGTTCACTCTCCGTGTTTTTGGCGAAGGGCTATTTCCTTGCTTCCTCCCATGTTGTCTTGCTTGCCGTGTGGCCTGTGCCCCCTCACGTTCTCCCCGATGCAGTTGTCAGGCAGCAGCCAATGAGCACTGGGTCCATCCTAGTGCTTGGCAGACCTCTTCAGAAAGGGTTGGGCTATGGCTGGGAGGGGAGAGTGTGGCAGTGCCCCTGGCAGAGCAGTTACGCTCTCCCTCTCCCAGGAGACGTCGGTCCCCTTAAGGAGCTTGCGGCACAGCTCTGTGGCAGTTCCAAGAGAAGGGGTCGCTCTCTTCCCACTTTCCGTTCTCAAAGGACATGTGAAGAGTGTCTTGTGGCCGCCGCCGGTATCCATTCCATCTTACCTTTGTTGGGCATAAGTGACTTTCCACACAAGGTGGAAGCTTCTCGCTTCAGGTTCTTCCTTCTCAGGCACCTGGAGGGTCCCTAAATGCCTTTATATGCTTTCTTTGGCGGATGATGACAGCCAGCCTGTTTCCCCTTTGCTATTTCCATGGTCTCTTTCCCAAGTAGTATCCCCGGCTTAAGGCCAGAACAGCTTATGTCCGTACAGGCGGAAGGAAAGGTAACAGTTGAGATGGGGGGGGGGGGTTTGGGATGGGGTTATTCAGTGCAGCCTTCTTTTTATTGTTTAAGCCTAGGTCAGTGGGAAGCAATAACCCTCTCATAGTCATAAGCCGTTTTAAAAAGGGTCTGCTTTTGCTTGTTCCCTGGAGGATTCAGTTTCTCCTTTTTTCCTCTGCTTTGGGGGAAAAGGACAAGTCAGGCCTGATCTATTCATGCACAACAGAACAAAAATGGTAGAATGTTCTACTTAACAGTGGAACCTGTGGCAAGGATTCCATTTTTAAATGTACCCCCACATAAAAAGAAGATTCCCCACAAGTTTTAAAAAAAACGAGAGAGGGCACACAAGGAACAGACTGAGCTAGAACTTCTTTTCCCTATGTGCAGCTTCTCTTCTTGCAGGGGATTTTTAAAAAAATGGATATTTAGGAAAATGTCACTTTCCTTCCTCGTTTGGCTACTTGAGTCGACCAGGCCTCCGCTTTGCACTCTGGAATGGCCACGGCAGAGGGATTTCGGAGCCTGCCTGGGCGACTGACTGGCTGCTGCTCCTCTCTTCCCAGACGGTGAATGTGGATCACTTTTGCATTGCGGTGCTATCCCAATAAATGCTCGGCTGCCGCCTCAAGCTTGACTGGATCCTCCTCAAAGCAGCTGGCAAAGCAGGGCCCGCAGATTGTTGGTGTCTCTGAAGGATATCGTTGAATGTGGCCAAAAACCGGGGCCGGGGGGGTGGGGATAAGATGGTGGTTTATTCCTCTGATTTTTTTCCCCCCTCCCCATCCCCTTCTCTTTTGTCTTCCTCATACATCGTTTTTATTTTCTATGTTCTACTGTCGGATATGAGATTAAACAAACACAACCATCCTGTCGCCTTGGCCTGTTTCTTCGGTGCGGTTGAGACACGCTCCCTGTCACGCAGTGTTTAGTTTTCATTAATCTGCACGACAGGCCTGTGAGATGGGTCGATCTTCGAGGACAGGGAAGGGGTGGAGGAATGCATGAGTCGCCCAAGGCTGTCCGGTGAAGCCCTGTGAGTAAAGTGGGATTAAAAGGTCCTGGCCTCACCCCATTGCAGCAGGATAGTTCTGCAAATGGAACAGGCAGTAGTGACTGCTGGCCAGAGAATCATGGCCCCTGGCTTGCAAGCTGAGCTTTCCTTGCCTCTTTGGTGGGGGGAGAATGAGAGACCAGAATGGCATTTTACCTATTTTCAAACGTTACGAGTGTAGCCTTCACTGCTGGGTGCACAGCCACAGCTCCAGAAGGGGTGGGGGGGATGTCTGACTCGTAGTTTTTAAATACGGTATTTTTAAAAGTCTTTGTATGGCGGAGAGACACTATTTGTCCAGTAATGAAGTTCCTCCTTTGTTCAGGCTCTTGTTGTAAAGACACTCAGGGTGTCACGTACAGCACAATGTAGCCCCTTAGTTCAAAATTTGGTTCAGGTATTTCCATCTATCCCAAGACTGTCCGTTGTTCTTAAACAAGAGGGTCTCTCCAGGCCTCTCTCCCAGCTCTGCTTCCTGAGATCCATCTAACTGGAGCTGCTGTGGGTTGGCGTGGAACCGATCACCTTCCTTCCTACTCCCACCTGCTCCCTTTGAGGGTGCAATAAAGCGTGCTTTGCCCAGCTTGGGGGGGCTGAAGAGTAAAAGGGGGCAGGTTTTTGTTAAGAACCTGTTGAAGAATTGAAAGTAGGAACATGTCTGTGGTGCCCACGTTTTTTGTCTTAAGAAATAGCTATTTTTTTTTCTGCCTGGGGCAAAAGGAGATCTACTCCTGTTTTAGTTAAGTCTTTGATACTGGGGAGCAAGTTCGGGATAACATGTTTGCAAACTGTCCTGTGGAAGTGATTGCACAACTGATCGCATGGAACTGCTGGTGAACACATGAAGCGGCCGTCTACTGAGTCATACCCTTGGTCTTCTCAGACTACCAATGGCTCCGCAAGGTCTCAGATTGAGGTCTTCCACACTGTGCCCTGATTCTTTAGACTGGAGCCACCAGTTGAATTGGGGACCCTCTGCATGCCCAGCGGTTGTTGTACCACTGAGCCGTGGCTACTGGTACAGGAACTGAAGGTGGAATGTGATCCTAGTCCTGAATGAGGGCACAACATTTCCCATGTAACTTACAGCATGGTAGAGACAAAGTATAAAATAGGCTGCCAGGATAGCACACTTCTATCTTGTATTGGAAAGACTTGCTGGTCCCTTTTGGGAAGGGCTCAAATTTTGCCTTTGGATTTGTGGGGAGGGGGGGAGAAGCCCTGGGAGCACCAGGATCTTCTTCGTGGTCTCTGTGCTTCACACCAATGGGTTTAGTGCGCCTGCGCTGACCCGACCGGTGCTGTAGCAAGCTATGTTTCAACAGATTTTCGCGCAAGTCCCACTGGACATGCGCAGGAACCCCAGTGCGCATGCCCAGAGGGACGGGCGCGGACATCCCGCCAGTTCTTTTTCTACCGCCGCGTTGAAAGGACCTTTTTGCCTTTCCTCCTGACCGGATAGTTGTAGCTGCCTTCGGGCCTTTACCTCGTTCTTCTGTTTCTTCGGATCATCCTCCGTGTCTTTTTCTTTAGTTTTTGTTTAAAAAAAAAAGGAGAAGAAGAAGGAATTTTATTTTCCTGAGGGGAATCTCCTCAGGCCTTCGGGCCACCCCCCCCCTTCCCTCATCGCTTTCCCCCGGCATTTGTTTTTTCGCGCCGCATGGAAAAGAAAAAGAAGAAGGGTCAGAAGTGGGGCTTTTTTAACCGCTGTAAAAAGTGTGGAAGTAAATTGGCACCTCCAGACGGCCATGAACTTTGTTTGTTCTGCTTAGGCGAGTCGCATAGAGCAGATACTTGTAAGCATTGTGCTAAATTTTCTAATCAGACGAAAAAGAACCGTGCCGCACGGTTAAAGGTCGCTCTGTTGGAATCCGCGCTTCACCCGTCTTCTGCTATGGCGGACCAACCTTCTACCTCACGTACAGCCGTCGATACCAGAGCATCGATACCGACGAGGTCGACATCGAAAGCCGCTTCAAAACAGTCAACTAAAGGCAAGTCTGTGAGGGAACATTCCACTAAGAAGGACAAGCCGGCCAAATCGTCTAAGGAGGGTAAGACTGGGCCCCCTGAGGCCGTTCCTTTGCAGAAACATCGAAAGCCGCTTCAAAACAGTCAACTAAAGGCAAGTCTGTGGGGGAACATTCCACTAAGAAGGACAAGCCGGCCAAATCGTCTAAGGAGGGTAAGACTGGGCCCCCTGAGGCCGTTCCTTTGCAGAACCCGCCACCGTTAGTGCCGGAATCCACGGTTGCATCGAAGTCTAAGGATGCATTGATACCGACTGAGGCGTCGATACCAGAGCCACAACCTCCTACAATGTCGCCTTCTGCTCTACTGGCTTCATCACTAAGCCAACAGATGCCAGAGATCGTCGATATCGATACGGCGGAACTCATGAGTCACCCAATAGGTGCAGAGTTTCCCCCCGCAAGATCTACTTCATCGGCATCGATGCTCTCGGGACTGCCCGATACCGATGGCGCTCGATACCGACCGAGACATAATGTGGAGCGTTACCACCCC